GATACGGAAAACAAAACACCAAGCTTTCCTTTATCATTGTTCATGTAGAATCAGATAGCAGAAATTGTTTTCTTCAATCTTCTAAGATGATACCGAGTGTGCTCGGCAACAGTGATTAAGAGCTGAAGATGAAATTTCGGGGATATCAGAAAGTAAATAAAGTACCTCAAATTACGCTAGGAAAATTATTTCGTGCGTATTTCGACAATGCTTCTTTTTCTGTAACTTTACATTGCTTCGAAGTACAACTTATTTATTATGTTTGAAGAAACTACAAACTCTTCAGATCGTTATATTGAACGAAGGAATGCGATGAGGGTTCCATTCTTTGGTGGGCGTGCAGATAAACCTAGCCAACTTGGCTAACAGAAGTAAACCGATCTCTTTAGCCGCTCGAACCACGGAGGCTGCGTAAAGCATTATTACATATAGTGTTTCATAATATTACAGATTTTCCGTGTCCAGAAATCATAGCAATGGAAAAATTTGACGTCGACATACGTCCACAATGATATTAGGTTGTCCCGAAAGTTTCTTTCGCGAGTTGCAATCAATTATTTGATGTGGTCGTGTTTCTATAAATAGACAAACAGTAATGGAGCGAAATGAATCGTGCACAATTCAGTAATGTAACATAAAACATAAACTATTATGCATGTATTATTTATTAACACGTTGACCGCCAAACGAATATTCTTAAAAAATTCTGCTAATATTAAATATTAGTTAGACTACTGAAATCTATGTAATCAAACATTTATCGTGGTATTTAGGTTTGTAACTACATCAAAATTCATGAATTTCATTTAAATTCATCTCCTTTGATGTCAACTTTTCAGAATCTTTTTAGTTCTTGAGTGAAACCCATACATGGGTGACATGGCAATCTACGTGTTAATAGAGCGAAAGAAACTTTTGGGACAACCTAATACTTTGTGAATTGCAGACTGCGAGGCGGTGTAAAAAAATTAATAAATAAAGCGTATTATTGCAGGTAACCGTGCTCAGAAATCATAGCAATAAACACAATTGACGGAGGCAGATTATGTCGAGTCCAAATTGTTTAATTTAGGAGAAATATATTAAGTTCAAATTTTTAAAATTTTTGATAAATGTTTCGTATCACTTAAAATAATAATATATTTTTCATTGCCGTTTAAAATATTAGATCCAATCCGATATGCATCCGCTTCAGAAGCAAACTATGCTCGGTCCAAACTAAACAAAAATTTTTGATAAATTTGAACTAATACACTGAACTAATAATACATTTAAAATATTAACCTCCCACATTTTGAATTGAACATAGGTTGTGTCTGAGGCTCAAAATAGTTTGTTTAGAAGCGAACCAAGCTGTTCATGATTAGGACTCCTTCGCAACTTTGCTCCCCTTTCCCCATACACCGCATTATGTTTACGTCTAAAGGGTACATATAACGGGACATCGGCCATCGTTTCTGGACTACGTTCAAGTAAACAGAATAAAAGAAGCCCCTAAACTCCTCAGCTTATCTTGGTCAACGTGGCCTTAAAAACCGTAAATTCGATCTTTGTAATTATGACGTAAATGACGTTTGAAAAGCTTAGCAATACATTCTATACACACGTAATATATTATTACGGATTAAAAAAAGTCTCACGCATTTTAATTCTGATTTTCTCTTTCCTGTATGAAAATAAATAGAAAGTGGAATTATAGTAGACAAATTTCTTCAATGTAAATTTACGATAAAAATCAATGAAATGTGTGCTTCACACATCATTTTTAGAGATTATATTCATAATGTATTGTACACATATTGTTTTAGATTTTAGATTTGACAAAAAGAAGATATCTTATTCTAGTATTCTTCGACAAAAGTTCTCTAAAAACAACAAATTAATTAATTTCATTATAAAAAAACGAAATTTTAATTTTGTCTCTCCTAGTCAGAGGTGGGTAATATTTGTAGAAGAAATATTTTAAATACTATTTTAAATAATAGATTCTTCAGAATTCAAACAAAATAGTATTTCAAATGGAATATAAAATTTTCAGCAAATAAAATATTTTATTTTGATAATGTAAAACGTAAAATAAAATAGTTTATTTTGGTAATGTATAGTTAAAGCACGAAAATAAATATTTTATTTTGATAATCTAACACACAAAATAAAATATGTTTCATTTTAGTAACATAAAGCATAAAATAGAATACTTTCCATAGTTCTTAATTTGAAAATAAACTGTGTATGTATGATACACAGATGGAGAAACTATTTCTTGCAAATATTATGATTTCTTGCGATTAAAGAATATATCTTTCCATCATTCATTTTATGAAGATTTTTTATTGAAGATTCTTAATAGAAGTATTCATTGAAGAAGTACATTGAATGTATGTTTAATAAACATTGTTTATAATGCAGAGGAAAAGTACTTTGTTCGTTTTAGATTACCAAAATAAATATATTTCTTATCCAACTTCGAAAAAGTAGTGTATATTTTTTTTTTAAACTATAATTTAGTAAAATAAAATATTCCGAACTATGGTATAAATATTTTCAGTGTTTTTCAAATAAAATATTATTTGAAATATCATTTTAAAAATGTTTGATATCAAATAAAATACATTGTTTCAAAAAATACTTGCATGATCCGAAATAAAATATTTTATTTTTAAAAATACATGCACGATTCGAAAAAAATATTTATTTACTATTTACTATTTAAAATACGTATTTTATCCAGCTCTGCTCCTAGTTAATTCACATTAGATATTATCATTTGTATCACACCATGATCGAAACGTATCGATAAGTAAGATAGAATTAAACATTATCTATTGTCTAACAGTGCTTCTTTCATAGTAATTTGGTAAAATAGGCATGCTTGAGTTGTCTGTTCAAATCGGAGCAATAATCTTCAGTTTATGGAAATCTATCGTCCAGCGGTAAGCAGCTTACACGATCTTCGAGTAAAACTATTTAAAGCGAGACGAGGACACGAGTTTCGCTACAAGTTATTCCCTGGTAAGATGCTTGTATGCGCTTTAAAATAGTTAATCGTATTTTAGAACAACCTATGTATTCAAATTAATTTCAACCATCGTCATGAATGATTTGAAAGTGACGCGAGAAGATTAATTCGAAAGATACTATGGTTTCTCTAGATAATATATTTAACCAATTATGGCTAATGATATTTTAATTTTTGGATTTAATATAAATTGTGCAATCGATGATCTAGAAGGACTAGTAATTCTATAATTTATTTACAATTTGTATTCAAAATTTGTTAAATATTTATTCAATTAATTTCTTGGAGAAAGAAACAACAACAAATTTATTTTATATTTTAACGAAGGCGCTAAAAATATATTTTCTCTTCGCAATTTAATGTAAATTATACACGTATACGTTACACATATTTCGTTCAAATTTGTTAATTCTACCCGCATGTTACAAAAAAGTAGCTTTTTAAGTTTATTATTCAATTATTGATTAATTACACATTTTTCTTCGCATCTGAAGATGACCAGTACACCGTTCAAATCGTTTATAAGTCAGAGAATATTTAGACAGTTTCAAAATTTAAATGGAAAAAGGAATTTTCTCGATGAAATTATTGAAATTTTAGTATTTTTTAGATTAAAGAACAATCATCATTTCCATCGAAATAATCCACGAAATCTCGAAACACTACACGCGATTAAATGAAATTATATTTAATATTCTCCATTCTTCGGACACGATGTCCATTAAAGAAATTGGGTAAAGTAATATTTAAATATACAACGCCCCTCGCAGGAACGATTATGAGAATGAAATTTGATGAAATATTAGATGGTAGATATTGAAAAATATGTCATTGTACAACACGTTACCGTGTCGTAAACCCCCAAGTTTTATACCTAGTTTTATACCTAGTTTTAAAGCAGCCCGTATACAACGTAACCACGTCTTAGCAATTAGCTGGCATTTACTGCCACATCTAAAATGAAACTAAACAATGGTTGGGTCGATATAACGAAACATACTGGATCCATAACGAACAGTCGTACACGAAACATCGTGTCCGGAGTGACCTGTTGAATTCTCCGAGACGATTTATCGAAAATTTTCCTCACCAGGATGTACGTTCATTTATGAAAAATATAAAATATATTTAAAGTATGCTAGAATAAATTGTTCAAACTATTGTTTATATTTTGATTGAAATTTAATTTTACTGTTACAATTAACACGGTATCATACATATACTTCGGCAATAAGAATTGTAACAATTAAACGACAAGCGTTTTTTACGTTTCTACATTTGAAATTCTCTGTTTCTAGCTCTAATAACCTCAAAGAGTTAAAACTACTAAATTATCATTATACTTCAATTAAAAAATACAAAAATAAATATACGTAATATATGTTGAATATATTCTACAATTAATATAATAACATTGATATTTCAATTTGTACGCACACACCTTTTGATTATATTTACCATGTACTTATTACATTATTTT